CATTATAAGCAAAAACATTTGTGGCTTCTCTCTTCTCTTTAAACTATACACTTATTTCGTTGAAACAAACATAACCTCTCCTCTGATATATATATATATATATATATATATATATATATATATCCTCATCCTTTTATATATATATATATATATATATATATATATATATATATATATATATATATATATATATATATACATCACTACCTCCTTGAGCTGACGCTGCACGTCACTTATGTGATCAAAGTGCCATAAAAAAAGCTTTTATCCAGCCACTGTCTACAAGTATCTATAAGGAAAATTCTGGTTGATAACACAATCAGCTTTCATATATACCATAACGAAAACATCATGCTATGACAGAAGCACTCCATATAAAACATCTCGCATCTTTTATTAATCTTTTTTTATTTAACAAATAAAACAATATGCTAAAGGATTTTTGGGAACAGACAAACCCCAATTTCAATTCTAGCAACGTTCCTTTCTTGTGGCTCCGTATAAATGCTACTATCATAAAATACGCATTACAAAATACATGGTAAATTACAGACGTTAAAATAAATTAATACCAATTAAAAATAAACTCCTTGAAAATGCCTAAAATAAAAAGTGCTAGGGACAATAGACAGTAGAAAACATTAAAACGATAAAATATCAATTTTTTCTTGTTTATCATATTCATCTACACATGTTCGAAAGTAAGATTTCTGCCCAGTATAATATGTTTGTTTCTTGATACCTTGATGTTTTTTATACAAAATTGGACCCTCTAACTATCACAAACTCCTCCTCAATAGAATCACCTTTTAAAAAAGACAATAACAGTAGCACTATTTCTTTAATTAACAAAGATCACGCCGGTTTTGCAGGCTTGATATTGCAGACAGAATGGGGAAAATTCATATAAAGAACACATATTTACTTTTTAAAACCACAAACGTAATTACGACACTAATCTGTAATCACGGCCAAATAATTCTTCTGAAACAGAATTAGGCTTAATTTCTAAAAATATACTTAAATCATAATACAGACTAGGAACCTACTATAATAATCTTTGGTAAGATCCCTTGGATATTATAAAATAGTTCCAGAATAATAAAAATAAAATAAGGCCGCTTTCATCCATTTTGATATTATAGATTTCTAACCCTCCATTTCAAAAGATCTACTATTAAAAAGATTAAAGTTTGGTAAAAACTATATTAACATTACTGATGATATATTTTGATTCATCTTAACTGCTGGAATCTTTACTAATGCATAATAATTATACTTGTGTCAAAGGTCTTAATGATAATACTGACGTTCCTATGGGAGCATACGACTCCGCTCAAATTACTGATTTAGTAGATAACTATATATTAGACACTTTTAGTAGGATTATTGATCCAAAACTATTAGACCTTTACAGAGATGACGGACTTATTTACTTATTTACCATAGTAATGGTCCACTATCTTCTAGAATAGAGAAGAATATTACAAAGGCTTTCCAATTCCTGGGTTTTAAAATTGAAATCTCATCTAACTTTAAAATAGTCAATTTATTGGATGTCACTTTCAAACTCTCTAATAACATATTTAAGCCATTTCAAAAAGAAAATCAAACTCCTGTTTATATTAATGTAAATTCTATTCACTCAAACTCTATAATTAAACAAATCCCTAACACTATAAACACAAGAATAAATAGATTATCGTCCAACAAAAAATATCTAATGAGAACAAAATGTATAACGAAGAAATTACCAAAAGTAATTTCAAACAATTTTTTTTTTACCGGATATCTTTGAAATATAATAAAGCTAATAGAACCGTAAACAGAAAAAAAAATATGGTTCAACTTTCCTTTCTGCAAGGTGTCCAATGTAAAATTTGGTAAATATTTTTTAAACCTGACCGACAAATATTTTAATCACAAGAAACCTGTAGAGAAAAAAAGCAAAACAAAAAAAAGTAAAAATTAGTTATTCCTGAATTAAAAATATACAGATTATTATTAACTCGCATAACAATGAAACATTAAAAACATTTTATAACGGCGATGCAACAGACCACAAAACCTCCTGTAATTGTAGAACCGGGACCACTCGGCTTATGTGACATACCAAACTACCATTTTCCAAAAGAAATTACTAATAATAAAAATATACATAGGGATATCCGTTGTAAATTGGAAACAGGGAGACTATACAATCACAGGCATTCCTCCTCCTCCAATGCGTCATTAAGACACAAAAATGCTCTATCGAAGCATTAATGGCGGATTAAAGATAGAAACTTCACCCAACAAATTAAATGGGACATCATCTGTCGGACTCAAAATCCCAACAATTTTAGGGATAGATGGAGTCTGTGCATTCAAAACAAGTTTACAATTATTAAATACAGAAATGCTGACGTTTGATATTAAATCAAATATTCGAAATTATTTTCAAGTGTAGACATAAGAAGATATTTGAAATTCCCTAAATTGGTTGACTTTGTGGTATATACACTTGAAGGATTGATTCCGTTATATAAATACCAGCACATATGTGGGTAATATGCATATTATGTTTATACTTCTTGGTTTATATTCTAAATTAATACATTTATCTATATCTTTTTGCCTATTATTTCTTTATTAAAAACTTCTTTATTTGGCTTCATTTTATTTTAATTAATTTACTTATATCTCTGAAAATGGGGCATTATTATTACTTGCATTATTTATATAATTTGTGCTGTTATCATCAGCTTAATTGCCATATGCACAAAGTTTCTTCCATTGTACTCTCCGGTCTCAGGTGATTGGAATTTTGAACCGAATCCTTTATTTTAATCCAGCAAGGTACATTGTTCTAGGTCTACGGGTCATGATTGTGTCTCAGATATTTTCCTTTAAATCAACTCGCTACGTTTTTGGTTCACCACTGCTGTGGCTGAGTATTGAACACACAACTCTTTAGCTTATATTGCAATTTTTGTTGTTATTCATTGCTTTTCTCTAACACTTCTTATTACTGTTACTGTAGAACATGCAAGTTACTATAACTACTACTAGAATATTCCATGTTCTAATTAAACAGTTGTTTTTTAAATAAATATTTATTGCTCTATTCTTGTATTGAGCCTTTATTTATATTGGTGATATGAACGCTTGAATTTGATTCTTTTAGTTATTTTACACACAGACACGACTTGCGAGCGTGTGTCGGTTGACCCAGCGTTCAATCTATTCGACTGTTCCCCAAAGGCCTTCTCTCCTACTAATCTTATAGTAGGCGGAAGGAACAACACACACACACACACACACACACACACACACACACATATATATATATATGTGTGTACACATATATGTGTGTGTGTGTGTGTGTGTGTGTGTGTGTGTGTGTCTTATACACGGCACTTATTGAAAAGCGATCAATTCCATTGATAGAGCTAACATATTCGGTTCTACGGATATGAGTTTTCGATGATCGCAAATGCGTAAAGTCACACACTGATATCCATGCAACTGAAAATATGTGGGGGTGTATGTGAGTGAGTGTGTGTGTGTGTGTATATGTGTGTGTGTGTGTTTCTCATTACTATAAACGTTATTTTGGTAGCTTTAAGAAAACAAACTTGTATCCGGGGGTGTTTTACTAATTTAGCCGCGAGGTATCTACAACGAGCAAGGATTAATTATATTGGCGATTTGCGGACGCCAGTGTACCAACATGAGTTGAGGTCAATATAAAAAAAATTGCTGAAGGAACCAATGAAGAATGAACACAATAAACATCGCACACACATATACTCACACAGACACAGACGCTTCTGTTTAAAGATATTAAATATACAATAGGTTGTATTAGGTTTATTTTCGCAAAACAACGCAAATTATTAACAAAGCTAAGCATTACTAAATTAAGTTGGGTCATGCTTAATAAATAACCTCGTCATATCGAGTTTTTCATGTAAATGTGATCCATGGCGACAAAAACGTTCAGAAATATCTAAACTGTCACTTGTATAAAGTCACTTTCTAAAACAAATATATTATATGTCTACGAGCGAATTAATCCTAGAGGCCATAGCAAGGATTATTCTTCTTATAACTATCTGGACTGCTGCCACAGAATCACAAACTAATAACTCTAGCAAATAACAAAAACAAAATCATTTAATATCACAATATATATATATATATATATATATATATATATATATATATATATATATATATATCACTAATAACAATAATAAAATAATAACATAATCAAGACTTTCGATATTACATGCAGTAAAAGGTTACGAAGAATGCCTTACTATTATAAAGTGCAATAACAGTTCCTGGAACTGAGAAAATTATTTCCCTCAAGAATTGTTTTAATAGAAAGATTTGATAAATTTCAAAAGACAATCTCACTGCTCAGTCAGGAAACGGATAATATTACCATTACCACCTATATATATATATATATATATATATATATATATATGAAGAAATATGGTCTTAAGATGTGATATATTTATGTGATAAAGTGTTCAATATCAGAAATAGAGCGTGTATAAAAATAAACGGGTACATAGAAGTCAACACTTAGAGGTGACAGTCTGTTTCATGCTAGATGCAAACGTCAGGTTTTAACCAGGATAATGCAATCGTCAGGTGGCCTGACGATTGCATCTAACATCAAACAGACTGTCGCCTGTAGGTGTTGAATTCTGTGTTACTTTTATATATATATATATATATATATATATATATATATATATATATATATATATATATATATAAAGAAGAGAGAGAGAGAGAGAGAGAAATTGAAATAGAGATACTACAATGTCCTTCCTTAACTATACGTGTGCTCAGTAACGGAGATAGAGCGTTTATACATATAGACATTGAAAACATTGGAAACAGCATGCACTGTAAATACCGCAAACTTCACTCCAAGGTTGAAGAAAATATGCTACGGAGATTGAAGTGATGGCCGAATCTGACAGTCGCCGTGCATTCCTATGCTATCTATCTATCTATCTATCTATCTATCTATCTATCTATCTATCTATCAGAATGTTCATATCAATCTATCTATCTATCTATCTATTGTGTGTGTGTGCGCATGCGTGTGTACGTGTGTGTGTGCATATGAAATTAATAATCAATTAACATGAATGTATAATTATTATTAATAGTGTAAATTTTAGTGATTTATTTTTACACAAATAGACAGGGTGTGTGCTTTTTTCTATAGATGGGACATTTTCATATGTCATTTTTACATTTACGCATATACAGGTACATACCAAAAAAGAAACTCAAAGCTCGAAGCAATTTCCAGATAGGAAGAAAATTTAATAGAATATAAGTTATTTATTCCAGAGAAAACCGTCGTATTCCATCAAGCCATGTCTCAACAGGGCAATATCGGAAACAGGACAGATGCAGGCATAATGACAAAACATCAGAAATATAATAATATATACATTTTGGCATTTATATATATATATATATATATATTATATATATATATATATATATATATATATATATATATATATATATATATATATATAGTTCGTCTGTGGCATTAATTTGTACCGACTAATTGTATCAATAGTTCCGAAAAGTGTGGATGGTTCTGCACAAGCCTTCACCCCTTTAATCAAATCACTTGTTTTCTGGCGGTTTACCTTGATTCGTTCTTATCCAAGCGCTTAGCTTTAGAGCGAGTTGAATGAAGATCAACGTGTTTTAGTGGACTCAGCAATTTTCAATCTGCTTGTCTGAATCATCTTCAAGAAACGAGAGCAAGATCTAAAAGGTCAGTCAATCTAAGAGTGATCTCATCTCAAAATCCTCTAACTTGCTCCATATGTGGCCTCCTTTGTAAATCACTAGCGGGACTTAAATGCCACTTAAGATTATCGCACAGACTGAATCAATAAACTATCAGAACTTCATATGTCGAAACCAACGTGAGATTCCATTATTATTATTATTATTGTACGGAAAGCAGAATGAGTAAGACTTCATAAATATAAAAATCAGTAAAATGGGAGATACGTCACGGAGATCGTAGTCGTCCTTCATACGCTTCTACTACAATAATTTGTCACGTCTTTTATTCTCCCAGATGAGATAATGATATATATATATATATATATATATATATATATATATATATATATATTTATACGTTGAAAATATATATTGGTGAAAAATATGATAAAGCAGAAATTAAGTTTTCTTGTGACGCTTTTCGTCCTTTATGGGGATTGCTTAAATGATGCCAAAAAATTATTTAGTCATTTGGCATTTTATAGAATTTTTTTTGTTTTTCATATATATATATATATATATATATATATATATATATATATATATATATATATATAAAAAAAGAACATTAAGATATATAATCCGCTGTTCCTATTGATATTTTTACAAAATAGTGCTCAATATAAATTTACAGAGTATTAATATTATACATTAACTGATTGAAAATATGGTTCCTTCGCTACACAGTAATAACCATGTTTGAAAAATGGATGCTTCGAATTTTATTTTGTAACTAAATTAAATACATTAGTTCCATTTCATCCTCAAGCGAATTTTGGAGTAACTTATTTTTCTGTGCCTTTAAAACTCAGTAAATTTAAAAAATAAGTTACTCGAATATTCGCTTGAGGAGAAAATGAAAGTAATATTTTTAATTTAATTACAAAATTAAATTCGAAGCTTTTAGCTTCCATTTCTGAAACATGGTTTTTACTGTGTAGCGAAAAATTTTAAATTTAAAATATTTTATAATATATATATATATATATATATATATATATATATATATATATATATATATATATATATATATATATGAAAATAGATAAAAAATACGATAGAACTGGTTAGGTAAATAATCAAAAGTTCCTTAGTATTTTAGTTATTATTTTTAAAAATAGTGCTCGATACAAAGTAGAGCATAAATATAATTATTTATTTAAAAATATGATTCCAACTCGCGAGTTGGAATCATATTTTTAAATAAAATATATATATATATATATATATATATGTGTGTGTGTGTGTGTGTGTGTGTGTGTGTGTGTGTGTGCGTGTGTGTATTGTGAGTCCCTGTGTATAAATGTGTGTGTCTGTGTGAAAGAGAGAGCTGTATACAATGAATGAGTGTGTATGAAAGAGAGAGGATTAAATTTCTTAAATACTTTCTCAAACATATGGTATTTGCCTCTTTCACCACATTAATGAACTGCTGTCGTATGACTGCATTCCCCATGGCTTTTATCTCTGTTGCATAATTCCATATATTTTTGGTCGGCGACGCCATTCTACTCATTTGTCAGTATGTCAGTACTGTGAAAAACTCGTGTTTCACCAGTGAATTGAAGGCTTTACCCTGGCTGAAGGATTTCCATCAATTAGGTGTTCTGCTGTCAGACATCATGATAGCTTTAACAAATTTCTAAGATCATCTTCAGGGGTAAATTCCAAAGATGAACTTAACTCCATAACAACAGAATGCAGATTTAATTAGCGTTACAATACGTTTGTTATTGCTATTTACCCATGAAGAACATGTTGGAACCGGTCGAAACACTTGGTTTTAAACTAAATATGGCACCTCTCTTTCATCTAAACATCAGGAAAATGATTAGACAACTGGAAGGAATCGGCATAAAAATAAGTAGACACAATATGTCTATATTATACAATAAAACCTATTCCAGTGAAGATACGCTGCCTAAAATACATTGTGTGAGTGTGTATGTGTGTGCGGGCGCCTGTGTGTGGGGGCTGTAGGGTTCAATGATATAATTCTTTGCGTATAAAATCTGTATTATATATTTAGTTCTGCGTAATATAGTTTAATAGTAGTTGTATTGCTACTCGAAGATTTAATCAAATTTTCCCATGAATTCCAAGTTGTGTATAGTTGTTATGTGGTGAGAAATAAGAAATATTTCCTTCTGAATCATAGCAAATCGACAATCATTTTCCTTCTGAATCATAGCAAATATACAATGTGGGTTGAAGTTTCAGCAGGAGTGTTTTAAACCAAGAGTATTTGAGAATTGTATCAACGATTGAAATTGTCACAGAGAAAATTCTGTACAGATTTTGACATTTGTACTCCTGGAAATGTGATCAGTAATTTGCTGATGACACCTCTTTTCCTATCATCCCATACCCGAGAAAGTATAGTTTTTCGACTTGGAATTCTTCACATATTTCTGATACCTGTATAGAGAATATCTTATCTTGATTCCAAAAAGATAATCTTTGGTTCCTGCCTGTTTTTATTAACGACTGTATCTATTCTTATAAACTGTATTGCAAGCAATACAACGGATTGATTTTACTTTATTTACGATTTAGTTTTATTTTAAGTTCAGTCTCCGGTCAAAATTTTTCTAGCGTCTTCTTCCTTGAAGGCTTAATATTTTGCTCATTTATCTTATTTTCTTGCAGTTTAAAAATAGAAGGAAAAAAAAACACACGAAAAGAAACATTTCCTTTTTATTTATTTCCCGTTTCGTTATTTCGATTTCATTTATCTTTTCCCTTCTGTCCTTCCGTAGGTTCCGACCATCTTTCATTCATTCTTTCTTTTGTTTTTTATATTTCAATTCTTCCTAAGTTACAAAATGTAATTTGAGACAAGCATGATTTTCTATTTTTATTAATATTTTCCACTCAATTTGACATATTTTTCTTTTCTTTTATTCACAATTAATTTTTATCTTAACTTATACGTAACTTTAGGTGTGAATTATTTTAGAAAGCTTTTTTTCATATTGATTTCACTTTACTTGCATTATTTATATTACACGGTCTGTTATTCTCATTTCATTGCCATATTCACAACGTTTCGGCGGTTGTAAACCCTGGCCTTCTTCAGGTGATTGAAATTTCGAACTGAACCTTTTGTTTCTTCCACCGTGGTAGATTGCTCTAGTTACAAGTGGCATGGTCTCTTCGGAATACCTCATTTATTTCGCATTAACTGAAATCGCCAAGTTTTGTTTCACTATTGCTGTAGCCTGGTATTGAACTCACACTGGATCTAACCAATGTCTTTATCCACCAGGCCATTTTTCGGTTATTATTATTGCATTTTTTACCAGAGATTATAAGAATACCGGAGCGTACAACGGCCGAAACGCAGTGAATATGGCAAAGAAGATGAGGATAACCCTCCGAGCAATTTAAATAATGTAAATAATCATAATATCTCATTTTTCTTTATTTCTTTCTTTTGACATTCTGAGTGTCTTATTGATTCCTTCATTCTCGACATGTAATCTTTTTTTACTTTTTATTTTAACACATTCTCTTTTTCTTTCATTATATTTTCTTCATTACTTTTTGTCTCTTTTCTTTTTGATTTCATTGGTTCTTTGCTTCTTTCTTTCTTTCTTAATTTATTTTTCTGCGGGTCTTTTTATTTTCTTTTTGCATTCTTTATTTTTGTTGCTTTCTCTCTCCCTTTCGTTATTCTTCTCTTTCAGGCATTTCTTTCTTTCTTTCTTTCTTTCTTTCTTTCTTTCTTTCTTTCTTTTTCTACAGTTCATTTATTTTCTTTTTGCAATCTTTCTTTACTTTTGCTTTCTCACTATTTTTTCTTTTCTTTTTGCCCTTTTTTCTTTTATATTCCCTCTTTTTTTACCTTCTTACAGTTTACTTCATGTTTTTTTCTTTGTTTATTCCTTTCCTTCATTGCTCATACAGAATAAAAATGTTAATCTTTAAACCCTACGAGAAGAAACAAATTAAATCCGAAATTTAATAGCTTTTATCAGTAGCATTTATCAGGAATTCGTAAATAATTCACCATCAGCCGTGAAAAATATGGCATATGTGCAACCCTTCCATTCAGCAATAACATTTAAAAAAAAGAAACGCGCTTTCGTAAAAAAATATATCGTTCGCATTTAAGAAACATTCGGATAAAGTGGTACATATATATATATATATATATATATATATATATATATGTGTGTGTGTGTGTGTGTGTGTGTGTGTGTGTGTGTGTGTGTATTTATGGATTTTTGAAATGGTTTCTCAGTATGTTGGAGCAATTTGTAACGGTATATTTCTGTATAGTGATTTGATATATGATATCTAACCATAAACTTGTTTTCCATATTTACGTTTCGTATCCTCTCGATGTATTTAATACGAGTGGCATTGATGGTATCTAAGGACGGAGTTAAGATATATAAATATCCTAACTCCTTCCTCAGCATTAATGCAACTTATTAACTTACGCTCAATGACAAAGTGTTTGACATTTAAGTCTTGCCTAAATTTTTTCTATGGGATTAAGATAAGTTGACACTATTACAACTAGAAACCCTTCGACCTCAAGCGAATTTGAATATTGTTTCATACAAGGTATCTTAGCAGCCGCTCTTTCAAATAGCGACGAGATTACTTACTCAGGAGATATATACTGATACTAAAAAACTTATCCAGGTATGTTATAATACCCCATCTGATAATGTCAGTGAAATTGCCATAATAGATACTAACGTCTGTATGGAAAAATTAGAATGCGTCTTAAAGGGCGGCAGCATTTATATAAAAAACAACGAATAAACAGTAAAGAAAGACATACAAAATTCAGCAAAACTGGTAAGAAAATACTACAAAAATAAAAAAAAAATCCTGGATTAGATTAATAGAGTGTTACCCTACTACAACCATAGACTAGATTTTACCCAAAACTCACAAGTCCCACTTATTCATTGTATCCGGAATCATCATCAACAGTGCACCCTACAAATATCTAACGTTATTGCAAGGCTCTAAAGTACGTGCTCAGGCACGGTCAACATAAAATATACTAAACACTCTGATGACTTATTACAGAGGAAACGAATATGGAAAAATAAAGGTGATGGCTAGTTAGATATCAAATGACTAGAGAAAATATACCCCTTTACAAAAACCCTCAACACATTGAGAAACCACCTTGAAAAGTCCAAAGACAAAGTTTCCCTACATATATTGTTTTAAAAATGACGGACCACTTTATTTTTCACACTATCAAAAGAAAAAAATCATGTTGAACAAATTGGGTTGCACCTTGAAATATTCTGACGAAGCATTTAGTGTACTGCACAAAACTCGATCGGCTAAATATTGACGTTTTTTAGAAGCTGTTTCATATCATGTTTCATCGACCGACTTTGTGCAGACAGAAGGAGAAATTTCTTCGTTCTCTGTGTCTCTTGATTGGCTCGTGAGTACAAAATGTTTTCTATAACTGTCTATATGTCTGAGATGAGTTATTATGATTACTTGCATTATTCACATTATTTCGAATGATATTCTCAATGACACATGGCGCAGGGTATATAGCCGTGGGTTAGACCCAGCCACTGTACCCAAAGATTTGCGGGTGCAATACTAGGCCACAGAAGTGGTGAACTAAGAATTGGAGAGTTCAGCTAAAGGGAAATAACTGAGACATCAGGAAGAGACATGGCACCGGGAACTTGAAAAATCTACCCCGGTGGACGAAATAAAGGGTTTGAGTCGAAATTCCAATCAACTGAAGAAGGCCGGAGCGTACAACGACAGAAACGTTGCGAATATGGCAATGAAGATGAGCATAGCAATCCGAATAATGTAGATAATCGAAGTAAAATCTTTTCTATTTTATATTCAATAGGATTTTATTTACATCGATTTATTGTTTTAGTAATACTTTTATTATAGTCCTGGCTTCTTGTTTACCCCCATGCAAAATGTTCAGTTTCGCTGTTTATGTTTTTTCTCTATGTTTTTTTTTTTCTTTTTTTTTTTTTGTACTGTAGCCGTTAATGTTTAAGTGTAATTCAAGTCTTCAGTGCTAAGATAAAAGAGTATTTAATTTCAACTGAAAACAAATACATAACAAGAACAAAAAATAAAAGTCAACCAAATATATTTAACAATTTCAGTGAATAACTTGTTAGTAGAGCAGCTCGGCTTAAGATCCGCTAAATCCTAAATCAAAACCTAAATCATCGACGCACAATAATTCACACTAATTCGACTGGATAGTTCCTCTCAATAACCACTCAATAATCTCACCAGTCAGTAGCCTGACACCGCTATTTATATGACTGGCAGAAAATATATATTCATGAGTCCAGAGAGACACGATTGTACATGCTATTAGATACTGTGTCTCTTCCGGATGTAATTGATCATAGCTTTCGATGAAAGAAAAGTTTGTCTCCTTAACATCCATCTTAGCCCTGCTCCGCTCTCCATTCTGAAAAATAATTAGACGAGTTGATCGTGTCCAATTACTCCCCCCTAACTTTCGAAACCTTTGCTAGGGGGAGATTTCAGGAATATAAATACTCGGTGATATTTTTTCTAGTTCTCTACTTACTTTTCCTCTTACACGTCAACATGTAAATCTCTCGCGGAGAATGCGTTCTTATTTTTAGAAACGCATGAATAGCACACACACACACACACACACATGTACGTACGTACATTCACTTACTACGCAGACTTTACACCCCGAAAGTTTTCTCAGTCATTTGACACACGCATGTCTGTCTTTGTCACTTGTAACTCTTTATTGTTAAAACATTTTCATATATATATATATATATATATATATATATATATATATATATATATATTGTTTCTTGGCATTTCTTTTCATTTCTTTATGTGGACTGACATTCGAGTCTGCCATGTTTGTTGTGGGCATTTCATGAGACTCAAAAAACAGCAGCCCTCAAAAATCGCTCATTTGCTCTGTCCCTCTGTTCATCGAGGAGTTATCCGAGTGTTAATTCATCAAAGCCGTCTTTACTTAGGATGTTGTATCGGTGGCGTAATAGATAGCTGCTCGAAATGAGAAATCTTAGAGCCGAGTTCGAATTTCAGTCGGGTCAGTTGCATTCACTATTGGGAAAATATGAGTGTCTCCTCCTAGCTATAGGTTATTACATATCCGGAAAAGGCATTTTTATTCTAAATGAAAACACTAATTCCATATTTTTCTGTAAAAAAATAGTTATTCTTACTGTTGTCACCAAGTAATTGTTAAGAAATAACAAAACAAGAGGTTGCAGATAAATAGTGTATTGAAAAGCAAATACAACAGAAATGTGTTACACGACTTGGGAGTGTGTATCGGTTGACTAGCGTTCTGTCTATATCACTGTTCCCCAGAGGCCTAATTTCCCTACCAACTTTAAGTCTACAATAATTTATTGATTAATTAATTTTCTCCTTTGCTGTTTTTTTAAAGTCGGAAAAAAATGTTTAAATTGTATGATTTTGTTCAGGTAATATTGATTTAGTGATACAAGTCTTACTAATTAACCCATAACTTAAGGTGGGGAGAAGATGTATATTCATACCTTTCCCAAAGGTATTTGCGCCAAAGTGAATATAACTTAGCGAACTGGAATTGGATCTTGTCTATCCTATTAACAATTCTGCGCCATTTTTCTTTACACCACCCACACATTTAAGTTTAGAGCACCTTGTATCCCCATGCGGTCAACTATATAGGTACTGGTCAGGCTCGATGTTTTTTTTTTTAATTTCAGTGGTCGCACGGGAACCAATGTTTTAACGTGATATGGGCATATAAACCAAAATAAGTTTCACTTTTAAATAATCCCAAAAGAAGTGATAAGCCGTAAAATAAATAAAAAAACAAAACAATCAATCAACTTCTCATAATGTATCCCAGAAATGTCAAATATATCTATTTAATTTTCAGTATGAATGACTATTTAGGTCTCATGAATTACCTCTTATCCTGATAACATTTTCCACTTCAGCAGCCATCTTGTGATGTGATAACACAGATACCAGAGCTTTCTCAGTGTCCGTTATACATTGATGCATACCGGGAAAAGGCTTACTGTTTTGAAACGGTCTAATGCAAGCAGGTGTCATGTGATGGAGAAATGACATATGCTTCTTTTGTTCAATCAGAGCTGTTAGGGAGAGTCCGGATTCAGGGCAATTTTGAGGCTTGATTGGCATTTTAAATTATAATGCGACTGACGGTGTACGTGACTCGTTCGTTGCGCTTCGACGTGGGGAATTTGGGCTGGTCATTTGGTACAGACATTCGCTAAGTTTGACGCATTTTAATGACAACACTTACACAATCAACAACCTCCAAAGTATCACAAGTTCAACCCCAGAAATATTAGTACAGACAGTGAGGACCCGTTTGATTGTAGCAGTCAAGGTAACAGTAATATTAGCCGTTTACTCCAAAGGGAATATGCCGCATTCAGTGAGCGGGAAGCTAGAACTACTTTCAAATATAATTTTTAAATATTTCCCTTCAAAAACATTTTCAAGAAAAAAGGTCTCTCAAGTCTACTCTTATTGTTTTTTCAGTGTTCATGGCGGTTTCCTTCTTAACCTTTTGTTTGAGGTAGTGTGGAATATAAACATATTGATGATGTTATTACTTGCACTACGAGTTAAAAATGCTATCCCTTTAATTGTTGACGCTTGTGTAAAGTTGTTGTTTTTTTATTTTTATTTTGGACAGTTATTTGTTTGTGATTCTGTAAACCCCGCCCAAGAGGTTTGCAGGAGATTGTTGCTCTCTAAAAGGATTCTCTAGTATACATTTTAGTATCTGATTCGATAAAGCGGTTGCATACAGCTATTAGTTAAGATATTTCCGAACGTGTTTGGCAGCATGGATTCTATGTTAAAATAGTATTTCTATTAAGTTGGTGCAAAAATAGTGACGTAATAAT